TTCCGCTGAGAAGGAATTTGATTATGTTAATGGGAACTGAGAATGTTGGCTAATCATTTCTGATTGATTTTTATTAAACAGCTTTAAACATAAGATTTTCTTTGAAAGGCTCGATAGTTGTGCAATAACGTTTTCGGAATGATTGCTTGATCGAAGGGCATTCGTCCCATCGATAAATTTTTAACAACAAACTATTTGATCATCAGATCAATTTCCTGATTTTTTTTCTGATCAGTCGCTATGAAGAACTAGATTATCGGGGAGGCGAGAAGTGCGATCACGTAGATTTTTGGGAAGGTGGAGGGAATGGAGGTGTCTTATGATTAAATGATCAATGGGGGAGGGGCACAGAGGGCAACAGCGTGAGAACCATCGGTCTGAAACGAAGCAACATTCCCTGTTTCAAATGAAAACGAGATACAGGATGTTATGAAAGGTAATTAACAAAAGCCAAACGTGTCGGTCAATCGACGCATGGCTGACCTTGCGCTGAAAGTTGAAATCAAATTTGACGCGCGCAACTTTTGAGAGGCGATACAGGAACCCGGCTATCAATACGCTTGAAAGTGACATATTAAAACAACGTGAATTCCTTAAACATCTACAATAAGACGTTTGACCCAGAGACTTGACCCACAATAAGATGTGATCTCAAAATTTGGTTCTCGCTTCATGCCAACAAATTTACTCACGATCAGTTCCGTAATCTTCGTAAGTTCGTGGCAAGAAAAATGGCATAACATATAGCAAACTGCATCAATTACCTTATTGATGGAAAAGAATAATTAACAAAGAATGGTTATCTGAAAAGAGATATGTACGGAGCAGAGTGTTGGTATTTGCGCGCTCGTTATACACCAAAGAACACACCTAATCACATTCAATCATGCACCTTAAGTAATCAGGAAATACAGAACAAACAAGCAGAGCGTTATCCAGCGTAGCTTCACGATCTTTTTTTCGGAATACTCTCCAAGATGTTTTGAATTTGATGGCCGAAACGCGGTTAGACAGGCAGAGGTACGCTTACCTTGGCACTGAAAACAACCAAATCTGTCCTTTCTTTGTTCATCACGATAACAATAACAACACCTTAATTGAGAAGGTACGTCAACATTGTGCCACTCAAAGCGCGTGTGCGTTTGCGCTCTGCACTCTGCATTGTAGCAAAAACAGTCGAGTGAAATGCGAGAAGCAATGACAGTGGTCGATTTCTTGATCATCAGACAGTCAAAAAGGAGGCATGAAAACGAACTGCATATGGGGCCGTTCAATGTGAAATTGTTTGCTTCATTAGATGGAATAATTCTGCAACATATCGTGTGCATTTCAAGTTGGCAGATAGTTTACGATGCTTGAAGCATCAAAAATCATCGTATTCACCAACGAAAATCGCCGTGACTAAAAGCTTGCTCGGTCTATGAATTGTACAGGGATATATCCATAAAACAGAAGCATTTATGAAAAAAAAGCACCATCGAATTACACCTACTTCTATACGTTTGATTCGCTCTTAACCAGCAGTACATCATTAAGTAAACGTGTCATATTCAAGCTATCGGTACGCTCTGTCTAGTGATGTTTGGCCGATCGAAGTTCGGTAAGAATAACTAATTTCGGAATCCCAAAATGTGAATTCGATTGCCTTCCGATTGAGGAATTTCAAAGTTGGTCGATATATCGAATTTCGGAATGTTGAGAAGTTGATTCGGAAGTTGACCGAACTGAAATTTCATTCGAATGCCATCACTACCTCTGTTCTGGCCAACAACATATAATTTTCAATACCTTCAGATACGGTAAATCCTTGTGAATACGGTAAATACGGTAAATCCCCGGTAAATCCTTATCCTTTATTATGCAATAGGAGTGCTGCGTTCAGTCCATCGGTACATTCAGATTTTAACAGTAACCACATGACTTTTAGGGTTTATCGGTTAAACTTGTTTCTCAGATGTAAGGAAGGTGCATAAGTTAACGATGAAACAGCACAATTTTCACATATATAAAATTGTTGTTTAATGTGTTTCATGCAAAGATATTTTTGATCTAGAAAAAGCTCGTCAGAATGATACAAGTAATTTTTTTCAGTATTAATTGTGTTTACTGAGATGAAAAAAATGTATGGAGTTAATGACAAGACCTGGGCATATCATTGGTTTCAATGCGATATTTTCATCTATCCCCGTACTGATTGTGGGTTTGAAAATTTGCTCTCTTGCTTCGATTCCACGGGATAAAAATTATCTGTACTAAAAACAGATCAATTGAACACGATACTCCTTATGTACTCGTGATATTCTGTGTTGACTGGCAGGATATCAAGGACACGAAGTTAGGCGAAAAAAATGGAATTGTAATTATTATAATATATCCTAATAAAGGCAACCATCTTTTTGTGTTTGATGATTGTTACTTCGAACAGATGTAACTTTCTATGTTAATAGCTTCCTTGTAAAACCAAAGGAATTTGATCTGTTGAGGAGTAGAACTCTATTCGGAGCCAATAAAACTGAACTCTTCTTGAATTAACCTAATTTAATTAAACTCATTAAACTCCACAAGATTCACCGATCAAAATTAATTTCAATGTAAAGCTAAGCGCGAGGATAAAATTTATTCGACGCAACTTTTCCGCCAAAAACAGTCAAAATTTCTGTTTAAACACAGACACATCCTTGTCGAAATTTCGCACCTGAAGAAAGATAAACAACCTTGAGAAAGTGAAATCGAAAATGAAAATTGCTGGAAAACAATGGTTTGCTTTGAAATTTAAAAAACAATTTACAGTTTACAGGTGCACACCACTGCAGGGCATGCGAACCTTACCAACTATATCATGTTGCCCCCTAACACATCAGATGACCGCACAAACTACGTAAACAACAACGACACAAACAAAAAACGAACGCGTATAATAAAACAATGAAAGAAACAATCGAATTTAAGTGCTATCTGACATGGCATTAGTTTTATCCCAATATCGAATCAGACTCTCAAATAACGGACACATGCAAAACACCACAACTCTATACACACCAGTGATGGTATTCAACCGAGTTTGGTCAGAAAAATCCGACAAATTTCGGTTGCAATTCCGAATGTCGAAATCTCAGAATGTAAATTCAAGGGAATCCCTAATTTCGGAATCTTCAAATATGAATGCGGTCGGACTCTGGCCGAACTGAAATTCCGTTCGGGTGCCATCACTAATGTGCACCGGGAATAGAACTTTCACGGGTACACCCCTAAACCGCAATACAGTCGTACCGGGTAACATAATTAATGCAGGTTTTAAAATGAAGGCAATGAACTAAGAATTAGCCTAATATCTGTCAAGTCAATCAAGTGAAACAAACAATGTCCAAATTGATCAAAATTTCATTCGCTGTATTAATTCACTGGATCGCTAATTCAGCTACCTCTCACTCACTCCTATTAGAATCCAAAATTCTTCGTTCCTTTTTTTAAACCATGTTTTTAGCACAAACATACTGAAGAAGCATTATGCACATTTCACCGCTAGCAAACATCGTCTGAAGTGCTTGGCAGAGGTGCTGGAATCTGCAAATGAAATTTGTTAAACAGACGCATTTTCAGACGAGTCGACTGAAGTATTTGCCTTTTTTGTGTTGCGGATTATGATATGAGAATGTGATCTTGTGCAATTTCCATAACCTTCATCTGCATTACCTGGATTGACCAGGCTATCAAACATTTATAACGTTGCTGGCCACAATGCTCGCGTTTCCGTTCGCACTGTTTTAGCCTTGATTGACTTGATTTTAGCCTTGATTGAAACTTCATCTAGTATCTTTAATATAGTGTTCATACAGAGAATTTCTATCTTTTTCTATTCATCAGCCTGTTTCCATATGTTTTTCACTCATTCCACTTAAATGTTTTATTTATGTTGTAAATAAAACATTTACGTTGTAAAACAATAAAAATTCATTTGATTGGATATATTCAAATTGTAACTTAGAATGTGCTATATTCAAAAGTAGCAAAAAAAAGTTTTAGATCAGTACCAGCATCTCATCGTACCGATTGCATGTGCCCCCACTTTCCCATAGTGGCAATCAACATATATTCAAAGTGTTGCAAACAGAAATACTTCGCTATTTGCAATCAACCATTCGTCTCGGTGTTTTTTTCGAGACGAACGAGTGCTTGTGCTTGAACCAGGTCATCCACCCAAACGGTGTTAATCGAGCTTTTTCGCTGACTTATTTGTTACTGTACAGCGTTTTCTTCCGATCTCGTTCTCAGCTGCACATTCACTGCAGTTGAATGCACACGACCGCCCTGTAGTCTCTGACCAATTGGCAATGTGGCTGTTCACCCGTTGAGAACACTAGCAAACATTATGTGCGAACGATGCGGTGATACTGCAATCTCTTATAGCCCAACACCATCTCATGTCATGAAATTGCATTGTGAAACGATATCGTGCAAGTCTGGATTACGGTAGATCAAGGAACACGTCGTTCTATTTGTACATACCGTTAACTTAATATTATAAAAGAGCTAGCTGATCTTACCGGAATGAACGAATGTTGTATGCAAGCGGATACCGTAGATCACATGGTTGCATCCCAAAGGATGTTATCAATATTCTTATCATTGCCACTTTTTATGATAATAAGACATTGATATCAGTTGTCATTTATCTGTACCTTCTTTTGCTCCTGTGATTTTTTGTGTCGACCTCTGGTTTTTTGAATATTTTTCATTGAAATATTACGTTTTGTTGCAGTTCCAGTTTGCATCCATAAGATGAAATGAAATACCCGTGTAGTATATAACTAATTCAGCATACTTTGAAAATGAGCTTGATTGCCAGTTAGTTGTGCTTGTTCATAATTGATTACGTTGTTGTTATGGTAAATCGTTATCACTGGCCGGAATAAGCGTTTGATTGTTGTGCAGTTGAAGGGGACTCATTATTATTGTGGTTATTAAAAAGAGGAAAAAATTCGTCCTGACTCAGAAGCGAGATGATGGCGGGGGTTCCGCCATTCGTTGGCTATGCATCGAGTCCGGCAACAGCGTCAACGGCTGAATACCAGGCCGGCGCTCAACAAGTTTATGCGCAGAAGATGAATGCACCGATACCTTCCAGGTTCGTTGAACGTTCGACGAAAACTTCCGATCAATTTTTCGCTTTTCCCAGTTCCATGATTATCTCAGACCGCGATATCAACAGCTTTATGAACACAATTTTTTGCTTTGAATGTTTCACCGTTCTTTTCACTTCTGAATTAGCCTCATGAAATTGATAACTATAAAAGCATATGAAGCAGTTTCGTCATATTGTAGCGTTTCCTTCCGTTCTGTGACGCACTGATAATAATTTATTTACAATCAGTCGATTACTAAGAGTGATTCACTTTTTTTTCCATTGGAGGGTATCGGTGAACGATAGACCGGAATTTGGAGTACTAAAAGTAGTTGTATTCAGTGTAAGAGATGCTTTACTAATTTGGAAGGCGATCTTGGTTGCGAGCTTGCATTTACTTCTTAAAACGAACCTCTTTCAGTAACAACCAACCTTGTAATCAATATCCTGTAAGTGGTGTGCCGCCCGTCCCACAGATCAGCCTAGCATCATTTCCTCGCCCTCCACAGCCAGGTTATTCGTATATTCACTTCATCATTTTTAATGGACCATTTGAAAACGAATTTTTCAGTTTTTTTAGCACCTTTTCTTTGTCATCAGGCTAAAATTGTCGTGAAATGAACGAATTATGGTGATCTCTTTGATTATTGAACCGCTTTTATATTCAATATTCGGTCTCTTGTCTTATGCTTTTTTTTTCAGGAACGATGAACAACTCTAGTCCTTCAAATACTTTTTATTCCCCTTCCGCTCCTGTAACTGCTCCGTTCCCACCAACCGCTTCAACTCAGGTACTTTTAATTATCTGTTTCTGTTTGCATAGTCATAATTTTTTCCCTACTACTTGTTCCATTTACCGCAAAATTTTATGGTTTTGGTGTGGTGTGGGATTGTTTTTAGCTGTTCTCCGCATAGATCATCGTTTTGGCATTGTTTTCAATGCGGCTGAACGCGCCTTTTGTGATAAACGATCGATCCGTCTCTGTCCTGATTTTTTTTATGCGGACTTGGGGCCGGCAGAAATGGCTACCGTTTTATAAGCCTGTTTGGCTGGAGCGAAACGAGCAATAAAATTCATGTTTATATAAATGTTTCCAGCAAATTTCACGTATGCCAACATTTCCATGCGCAACCCAAACCGCCACAAGCACAATGCTGAATCAGCAGCCGATGCGTACCCTAACGCCATCAGTATCGGCTGCTAGTGGTGATGGTTCATTACCTCGTTCTTCATTGCAAGGTGGTGGTGGTGGTTCAGTTCCGTTTATGGCTCATACATCAAACATACAACAAACAACATTACCAAATATTTCTACTGCTGCCGCTGCTTCTCATCATCGATCATCAATCAGTTACAATAATAACACTCCAAATCATCCTCCTCAAATGCCCCCAGCAATGCATATGTCCACTAATAGAAGGCCTTCAACTGGAGCTGCTGCGGCTGCTTTTAACGTTGCTCAGCCATCTTTCATGCCTCCAACGCAGTACCCATCGTTACAAAATCAAAACACTCCCCCAGCCTCTTCCTTTCCCCCCACTGTACCATCATCGGATCTATCGAAGATGAATGGTCAACTGAGTAGAGCCACTGCCCCAATCAGTCAACATCATTCTCAAACATTTTCTAATCAGCAACATATCAATGGTGTTTCTTGTCCAAGCGCAACTACTCCTGCTTTCAATGATATGTCTCATCAATTAGTTAGTGGCTGATTCATTCACTTATTTTTACGTTATCTTTATTGAACAAGTTTGAATGCAGTCGTATAATTTCAATTTATGAAACATTTTTCGCTCAAATATATTGGAACTGTGAATTGCTTACTTGATTGGAACTGTGTTATATTGAGTGGTATATTGGAATTTACATATGTGTAATTTAGGGTATGTTGGGTAGTCATCAACAGCAGAGTTCACGATATGTTGATTTATTGCAAGAACGAAATGTGCTCAAATTAGATGACGAAGATATCGCTATCGACTTGCCGCCTTCTGTTTGCAATCCGGAGGCGCGTTGTAGTCCGAAGTAAGTAATTCTTCGTTTTTTTGGTGAACAAATGTCGATACGCAGTCATAAAGGGGATTATTTCATGAAATCTTCTCTCGTGTTTGCGTTCACAACTCCATTACGAAATCAAGCAGTTCCAATTATTTCTATTTGATTTGATCGTCTGCTGCTTTTTACAGTCACTGCAGCGATTGCCTATTGTTACTGTCTGATTTAGCCCGGTCATTTTTTCATGGTATTGCAAATGAACTGTGTTTATCGTAATGAAAATTAATCTCTGTGAATTGCTTACTTGATTAGAATTAGTTTAGTATGGTCAGATTGTGTGCAGTTGATTAGTTAGTCAACAAATATGAATGATTTTTTTGCAGCGTTTTTCGTTGTACATTCCGGTCAATTCCCCAAAGCCAAGAATTGCTGAAGAAATCACGTTTGCCATTTGGACTGACTCTGCAACCATTTCGAAACATGAAGGTCAGTGTCGATCCTTTTTCATTTTTGGTATTTTCTTATTGCTGAAGTGGTCCACCTCTTTACATCATTTCCATCTTTATCGCTTCAACATTCGGAAAAGTTTATTCTCTCATCTGCTTTTCCTATTTCCACCACGCTTGCTGTGGGAAGAGTAAAGTTTTTGCAGGCTCATTCTGCATTTTGCTTGTTGAAGAATGACTGTGTATTTGTGATGATGGCTGTTCGAAGATGAAGAATATCCTGTGTTATATTACCAATTTCAGAGCCTAAACGTGATCAGCGCATCAATTGTACGATGTCGCTATTGCCGTACATATATTAATCCGTATATTTATTTGCCAGATTCTCGTCATTGGAAGTGCAATCTGTGTTATGGGAATAATGATTGTTAGTTTCATAGTGATCCGGGGAATCTCTGTTCTAATTTGCCGTTCTTGAACCGTTTGCCCCAGTAGGGTTTATCACTCCGTTTGACTTTGCATTTTAGTATTACAGCATAAAATTGCGTCCAAGATGAGCATGAAGCACTGAGATGATAGACTCACTGATCTATCTCAGCAAATATTCCGTCAGCATCAACTAATTAGCATTGTTGCAACTATTATTTTTTGATTCATTAATGTGTATTGATTTTGTCAATATAGATGGAATGAAAATGTTGTTTATGATGATGGCTTTTTGTCATGTTCAGTTGTTCGCCGCATCGAATTATCTCATCACCGTTCAATTAATTTCAGTACCAGATGACTTTCGTTGGGATCCGTCATCGCGAACATTCGCAGAACCTACACGGCGACCCGAAATCAGAAACGCTACCGTCGAATTCATTGCTCCCTCTGAATACATGGTTGGCTGTTTAACTTTTTAACTGAGATTCTCACGAAACTGACTCTCACTGCTCGGATGTTTTTATGCCTTCAACAATCCTCACTGAAAATTTGTTCGATTGATTTCAGTATTGTCATTTAGTTGATAAATGATGAAATTTTCTAGTTACGACCACCTCAGCCTGCAGTCTACGTGTTCATCATGGATGTAAGTCAAGCGGCAATTGAGTCAGGTGAGTAACTGTTGAACGTTTAGTATTTGTGATCATCCTCAGCAATTATGATGAAGCACCAGCGATGAAGAATTTCGCATATTCTCAGTGGATAATTATGAGATTGCAATAAGCATGAAAATAATTCGAAAGTGCTGCTGATCGATGTGTGTTGTTGTTAAGGAAGAAAACCAAAGATAGTTCAAATATGAACGAATTTCGCTTCTTTGAACTTTTTTTTTGAAAACTGATATGGGAATTTTTAAGTTCTGAATGATTCGTGTAGTGTTTAAATATTGACTACTTCGCATTAGAATTACTTTTGAAAGAGAAAAGATGGATTTCATTTGATTATTTATTCGTTGTCAACTACTCGTTCATTTTCAGGATATTTGTATACGTTTTCGGAGCAGTTGCTTATCACACTTGAGCATCTACCTGGTGACGATCGCACTCTAATCGCATTTCTGGCAGTGGATTCATCGATTCATTTCTTCCAGTTCAATGCAAAGTCACCTCCAAAGCAGCTGATCGTCGATGACCACGAAGGTATCATTTATTTGTGCAAACAAAGACATTTTCAAGAGCGGCTAAAATCATGGCTATATTTTTTTCAAGCCTAATTATTTCTTGGATATGTGGATCTATAATCGGTTCTATGTTTCAGATCCATTCATACCGGTCAATAGTGGACTGTTGATCGAATTTCGTAAAAATATTGACGTAAGTTCCAGTAATTTTGATTGATCGAATTTTATTCCTTTTTTTTGCGTTTATCGATACCTCGAAACTGTTTGATTCGATTATTACTGATCAGTCGAATGAACTTTTTCTTTGATAAACTTATTCGTTGCTTTTTTGAGTTCATTCACTATCGGTGATATTTTCATATCGTAATATGTCATTTTCAACATACTGATGCACAGTTGAGCTTGACTCTGTTCTGCGTCTCATAATGTTTTACATTTCATTAAAATATTTATCATGAATTCTTTTGGTACCAAGTTGTTACCATCGCTGAAAAGACGTTGTGTGTATTTTGCTGCAATATGGAAAACCATCTAGAAGTATGCATGTTTGTAGGTGGTACGAACATTTGTACAAAGTTTACCGTCACTTTACGAATCGAACTCGTCACCGTCGAACTGTCTTGGTGCAGCGTTAAACATCGCTCGTGATCTTATTGTAAGTGTTCTGTTAAGTTTATGAACTATTCATCGTTTTATTAATGATTATTCGCATTTGATGTAAAAGCCGCATCAAAGAAATGAACTGAGTGCATGATGCTTTCTGTCGAAATGCTAGCTGAAAAAAAAAGACAGCTTCAGAAGGACATCGGTGGACGTATTACAGTCTTGCAAACGATTCTACCAAATCTCGGACCTGGAGCTTTAACGAGTCGTGAAGATCCAAATCAAAGGGCATCATCTGTGAGTCGCTGTTTTTAACCTTTTTCCAAGCATTTGTCCAATTCGTGGAATCAGAGATAAATTCTGAACTCAACGGATTACAAGCAGTATGGCATAAATTTACATATAAAGCTGTGTGGATCGAATCTGATTATAATTTAAGTTAGGTGTGTACAAGTCGTTTCAGTTACGATCCGTTGTGATTTGTTTTACTATTATTCAAGGAAATTGGCGTGTTCCTTAACTTTTGTTCATAATGATAGTGAGATTTACTTTGTTGAGAAAATTATGTTATGCACTCTCTTCTGCTTATTTTTGTTAGCGATTGTGATGAAGTACATATGTCTATTTAACTGAATTGAATTTGTGCAATGATGCTTCGATGTTTTGGTTCGTTGCCTTTGAAGACGCTCTGATTGATGTATAGAATTGACATTCGAAGGGTACTGAATCCAGTTTCAGGATGTGCAAAATCTCGGTCCAGCTACCGATTTCTACAAAAGTTTGGCCTTGGAATGTACGGGATATCAAATTGCAATCGATTTATTTCTGCTTAATACACAGTATGCAGACCTTGCCACATTGTGTTAGTTCTTTGATTGAATTGCGGCATTTATTGGTATTCGTTTTTTAAATGATTTTTTTCGAGAGAATTATGTAAATTTTCAACATTAGTTGTTTCGCGCTCTCAACTCGCTTTCATATGATCTCCCATTTCACCTCTCTCTCTTTTTTTTGCAGCGGAAATGGCGAAGTTTAGCAGTGGATGTGTACATCACTACCCTGGTTATCGTATGAACCGAAATGAAATACAAGTGAAACGATTTCAAAAACAGATCAACAGATATCTGACACGTAAAATTGGTTTTGAGGCTGTGCTCAGGATACGATGTACTCGAGGTATACTTTATTTGGTTCTAGATCACGTTTATCTTATTACCTAACCAGTGCAATCAACAATTCGCACAAACTCAGTCGTTAACCAATTAACCAGAAAAAGCGTTTGACCGAATCAAAACGTACTTTTTGATTGCAGTCCAAACAATTTCTTTCATATTTCACGTGCATGGTGGTAATCATGTCGTTCTGAAAAACTTTTGCATTAGTGTTTGTTGATAAAATTCTAATCGACTTTATTCAACATTGTTCAGGACTGACACTGCACACGTTCTATGGCAACTTCTTTGTGCGATCCACTGACCTTTTGGCAATGGCGAACGTCAATCCAGATTCAGCGTTTGGTGTACAAGTACAGATGGAGGAAAATCTTATCGGTCTGAGTCATGTATGCTTCCAAGCTGCACTTCTCTACACCTCTAGTAAAGGTATATACCATTATTTTTTTTTCATCATTCTTATTTCATTGACATACGACCATGCTAAACGTAAGAGAAAGTTTCCTTTTCTGTTTTGAGCAGACGCACTCAGAAGAAGAAGGCATTCATTGCATCATTCGTCGGCGATGTTATTCGATCGACTATTAGTTCCATCAAAATTTTCATTTTTTTGAATGTGAATTCATAATTTCAGGTGATCGACGTATTCGTGTCCATACGCTTTGTCTACCCGTAACGAAAGATTTACCAACCGTCTTCAGTCATTTTGACGTCAAATGCGCCGTATCGATGATCTCGAAAATGGGTCGGTCGCACTATTTTTAGTTTATTTTAGTAACTAAGCTTTCATGTCGCATCTTTGATGAATTTTATCCGCAACAGTTGGAATTCAATAGAGTAATGTTTCTTGTTGTCTAGCCGTGGAACGTTCGATGGCTGGTGGCAATTTGTCGGATTCACGAGAAGCGATGGTGAATGCAGTAGTTGATGCGTTGGGTGCGTTCAATACAACGCTAGGACAAGGTCGATTGCAGTCGTTGCTTTCACCGAAAACATCCATACGCCTTCTGCCATTGTATGTGCTTGGAATGCTGAAAAATGTTCGTTTGTTCAACTTTTAGTGTTTGAATAATTTTTTTGTTGTATTCTGTTATTTTTGTTTAATTTTATTCTTTGATATTTTTGCTTTGCTTCCATCACAGTTTTGTTTTGCTTTTCTCTTTATGGACAACAGTCATGCATATGTCAGCAAACATTTTATTCACGCTGATCATTTGAAATAGGCCAAAGATTGCTCGCCATATAAACATTCCACGAGTGGAATAATGCTCGACGGCAGTATAGAAGTTGAAATGAATTCCATTATTATTAACTTATATTCCTTTTTACGTTTGAAGATTCTTCTCTCGTTATTATTTTGCTTAGATTTAAGCTTCTCATTGGATACCGTTATCAGCTTTCATCCAGAGATATTTTGTTTCATTTGTGTTTTTTAAAATTCAAATTCTCTTCAAAACTGCCAGATTTATTCACTTCAAGGCACTCTAACTTGATATTACATTTTATTTTATTGAATTTTCAGTGCGCTTTCACTGCTGGTCGTTCTGTGAAATTAGACGATCGAGTTGCGGCTTTGCTATTATTCAAGACGGCACCTTTGGAAGTAATCGAACTGGAATTATATCCAGCACTCTATAAGCTCAACAGTCTTCTTGAAGTAGGTATAATTTCTTTAAGTAGGTAGTATATTCTGTCTTTCCTGATACGAATAGGCAATTTCTTTTCGAAATTTTGTCGCATAAAAAATTTGTTGTTGACGCTTACTTAAACATATATTGAAGTAGATGATTTTTACAGAGTGAAGAAGACCCGCCAAGACTACATCTCAGCTATGAGTTTATCGATCGAGATGGGATTTACCTTATGGACGCCGGTTCTTATTCATATGTTTACGTCTCGTCGGGCGCTCATCCGGCTCTGCTGAATGGCATCTTTGGAGTGGAGCAGTTCACCCAAATTGATGAAGAAGTTCGTTGCGAACGATCATTTTGAATTTATTCTCTCGTTGGAATGAATTGGAAGATGGAAGATTCGCAAGAAAAAAAACTAAAATCAAAATCATTTATTGCTATTGTTTCTGACAAATTATTATAAAGAAACTTTTGATATGTTTGTTTTTGCAAAGTTTGAATCTCCATCACGATATGTTCAGAATTTTCATGTGCAAACGAAAGTTGATCGATTCGAAATGAAAAGTGAGATTGTAGCCCTGACCGCATTGAGGGTCTTCGCATATTTTTGTTTACTACTTTGATCTGAAGAAGAAAACGCTTTCAGGCTGGCTTGGAACTACTCGAAAATTCACTGTCTGAGAGGGTGCATGGCTTTTTACGGAAATTGTTCGTTGAACGAACTCTTTTCGCGCCCATCGTTGTTATAAGGTAAGCACTTTTCAGGTTTCTGTTTTCTCATCTCATTTGTTTGTTTATGCTCGACGATTTCGTTTGTGAAGTGCATTTTTATCAAGATGATCTTCTTTCTTTTCTTTAAATTATGAAAATTTTTAATTTGATCTCATCGAAGTGAAAAACAGTTAATTTCGACATGTTTGCAGAGAGGACGGAATAATGCGCGAACTGTTCACAAGGCGTCTTGTCGAAGATCGAACCGAATCGTCGCATAGTTATATTGAATTTTTGCAACATTTGCGCCAAGAAATACAACGCTAAATGTCAATGTTTTATCATGAATAAGCATTTTTGTGTTGGGTGATGCTCGTTTGGTCGAATGACAACTTCATTTGCTTACGGTTGCGTGTTATTGTAACGGTGTTGAATGTAGAGTTGCACGCTAATTCATTTCATTCAGATTCTTTTCGAGATTTCCCGTAAAAACTCTTTCATCTAACATGCAGTTAAGTTGTCTGTATTTTTGGTCACATTATTTCTTTCTGCAAACATTTTATCAATTGCAAATTGTAGTAAAGCAAATAACCGTAAGCAGTTTTATTGTTTTCAAACAACAGTGGAAAGAAAATGATGCATCTATGAATTCGTAGTTTGTTGAAGTATTCAAATACCGCAAACATTGTTACAGGTAGCATCGAAATGTAACTTCTTAATGGATTTCGTTCGTGTGCAACTTCTAGAAATGAATCAGTCCACTAACGGGCTTTGTTTATTTGAATTGTTTGTTGTTTTCTAGTTGTACACGCTGCAAAAATGGTATCGCTGCAAGAAGATTTATTTAAGATAGTGAATGGTGTCCAAGTTGTATTAGAATTTCTTCATTGATTACTTTTATTGCGCTCAGCTGAAATTTGATTGCATGTTACGGCTTCTGTTCGTTCAAAATTGTCTGTGCATGGGTTAGTTGAAGTGTTCAAGAACATTGTGAATTGTATTAAAGTGGCTGAAGACATGTTTTGAAAGTTTGAAATTTTCATATGAGAACATTATGTGGGGAAGAGAACACAGGCAAGCTTGACGTATGGGAATTTCCTAATGGTTGACATTGTTGACTTGAAATTTTTAAGTGAATGATTTCATTCAGTTAAATGATTTGCTGTTTATTCTTGTATCAATTATGTTTTTTTTTTGTTAAATGAATTATCGTTTTATTTTCGATGCTCCTACTAATCAAGGGGCTTATTCCTCAACACTTTGCGCTCTGTTTTGTTGTTGTATGAATGGTAATGTGTCAAGAGAAAGAAACGGTGCACCTTTCAGAAACCGTCTCTGATTAAAAAGAATGTTTAATCTTATTTGTAAGTTTTATTCGTTCTGTCTGTGTACTTATTGATTGCTAGATTTGATGTGATAAATTTTTTTCGGTCCATTAATAATTCATTTCATTTTAATCGTTGATGAGATTATATAAGGTTGGTTTTGTTTCGCCTGAATCTGCGGATTCTATTCTTATGTATATTTCCATTTTGTCAACTGTATGCGATACAACGTTACGTTGGAGTGATAATATTGATGATTTTTGAGCGTAAACATAAAAAGATTTTTGAAGTGTAGTAGTAATGTTGTTCCATTTTTCTGCAGATGTTCGTTTTTGTTGTGTTTTCGATATTGTTAGTGGTCAATAAACACCGTTTTCGTGAGTTAATTTTTAGCTCTCACGAAACTGTTCACTTTGCACGCATGCCGTATTACAGATCAGAAAGAGAAGCTCAATTGCCTCTTATGATTATCGGTAAACCCGTGTCATTTTTCGTCGGCTCTGACTTTTTGAATTTCTCACATTGAAAATTTGAGCGTTTTGCTGTCAGTATGTTCGTTCGGGAATCGTCCGCTAAGTGCAGTATTTTTTAAGTTGTTAGTGGCAACTATATACAAATGGATTTGAAAAAAAAGTGGACGCATTTACCATCGACTGCAGGAAGTTTGAATATGAACTTTATCGAGTTGACTCGAGAATAGCAGAGTTCTGATTGAGAAAGTGTGATCGGTATCTGGAAATGAAATACGGCGCGGTGAGTGCATTCGTTGTTGGTGTTTTCAGCTTTGCGCTTATTATCATGACCGTCACTCTAAACAACATGAGTTGTTGCATACAGAACTTTTGGAAAGCGCTGATTGAGTTTATGTGCTCGAATTAAAGATTTTGCACATGTATCCTGGTGAGTATGTTGAAGTTGTACGCGTTTATTAGTCAGCACTTCACAACTTGTCTACGCAAGCTTCACTTGTCTATCAATTGATTTCGAATAGATAAACTAAGTTTCATGCGTACCTCATATTTTTTCTGTGTCGTAGATCAGTACAATAGCAAGACTTCCAGTGTCTTTTATATTGCCAATACGTTTTTGCTATACATCAACAGCTTCAAGGAGCAGTTTCAGATGAAGAAAGTGAAGCGAAGGAACTGTTCTGATGGGTTGTTAATTTTTAGAATTATGGTCCCTCAATAAGATTCGTCCATAACGAATTGACTTTTAGAAGAAGGTGGATAAACAGAGGTGCATAATGCACATAGGGCAAGGCACCTCTTCATCTCGGTGTTATTGCGGGATAATTGGTGAGTTGAACATAAGGATGATTTATTGACGATGCGGCATCAGCAGCAGTAGCAGCAGCAGCAGCCAAGCACATTTTGTTTCAATTGGTTGACCGTCTTCCTTTCGGTCATATGTAGCAGCAAAACACATCCATATATCATATCATGTCGATAGATATGCAGTGTTCAATTGTTCATTACAATCGCTTAAATGTGACAATAATTCATATTCATCTTCATCAATCTTATTCGTTGTCATTTCGTTTCAGTTCAACAACGTCGGCCACATCACCATATTCTATGTAATGTTTGAAGTGAAGAATACTCATCAAATCGTTACCTTTGCATCTTTACTTTTCACGATTCGATTTAAGATTGATCGGCTCACTCATTACATTACGTAACTCACTAATACAATAACTCTGCTTATAACCAATAAGCTGATCATCGCTTATCAGTCAACTGTTCTTATCATTCCGTGTTGCTATCTACCGTTTGCTTTCATATCTCTTTCCTATGAGATATCCACCGAGACTTTTATGATTATTTTATTACCTTCACTTTCATCATCATTTTTACCGCTATCATCATCCCAGTCGACAGCGCTACCGTCTTCCATCAACGAATTTGCTCAATGGATTCGTATCCAGCAATGCTCATAGCGAATTGAATGCAAAACTTCGAGACTCTGTCTCAACCAGAGTCTCGAAGTTTTGCATTCAATTCGTAACAATTGAGGCGTTTACCGTCTGCTTGATTTTTTGTACAATTCCTACGAGAAGTGATCGAAATAATTGCCACTTATGAATAAACGGATATTCATTGTGTGCATTCATGCAACATACATTCACTTACTGTTCTTTTCAAAAAGTTTGCCCCCTATGAGATCAAGTGATCATCGGACATGCTATATCTGAAAATATTTTCAAAAAAAAGAGTTGTAATCAGTCGCAAACAAAAATGAACGAATTCCATTTTTATTATGTTAACAATTTCTTCAGTGGGAATGCGAGGGAATATGACAAGTAATTGAACATAACTAGTGCTCAATCGAATGATTTGGTGCTAATTTCACAATGCGTTTTACATTGTGCGCGTTTCGATTTTAATGATGTTTTGTTGTGTGGCGGCATCTTCAAACGATCAATTTCACACAAAGTCTATTTGCGATATATGCCAACGAATTGGTTTTGTGATAAATTCGATGAGTTTATATCATATCAAATTGTTAGAACGATCACTAAAACACATCAGATGCCGCCATCACTATTCGCCGTTAAAGAATTTTATTACAGAAACAAACTGCAAGTGGGCTCGGCTCCATTCATGAATAAACACTCAGTGCATGTGAAATGCGACGAGCATGTTATATCACTCGACTATTGTTCTGTGAAGAGCGAACATTCACTACGATAGACAAAGCTAGAGTGCTCTTCATAATCATGCATAGTTGATGTTATCCGGACGTGCGAAACTTGAAGGTGAAAGTGAAACGTGAAAGGTGTCAAGAAGCGGTCCAATGTGATTTTTCTTGAGTGTAAGAACGATAAAGCAAAATCTCTGAATTTGTTCACTTTGAAAAATTTCCATTGTGTACTAGCATCCGTCAGGATTTTTGCAGCATTTCAATTCAACATCTGTTTCTTGGAAGTTGAGTATTCATTAGTTGAGGACGGGGCCTTTAATTATATCAGATTTGTAAGATTGACAAACCAAATGTGTTTATGGTAGGCTCTATGGTAGGTCACGGAAAAGATCAATTATTGTTATCAGTTACAATGAAACCTGCCGTCCACTTTTCGGTTATGGTCAGTAGATAGAAAGCGCTGAGGCGACGAGAATTTCTGTTAATTTACGACGTTACTCCACTGCACAAATTGTCTTCTGTTTAGATTTATGACAACCTAAAACGTTCATCCATTCAGGAAAGTAATTTGTTTGGGCTAATTTCGAAAAGCGAAGTGCGCATCTTCGATTACCTTTATTATTCTTATATTGGATTCATTCATTATTTAATTAATCGTCACACACACAGCACCTGCCAGTACGCAACAGCAATGGAACTGACTGAATGGCTAAGAATTGAGCAGTCGTAGAGAATTTTCTTCATCTTCATCTCCAAACTTCGAGTGACTCCTAATTCATTTTGCTATTGATTTCGATTGCTAACAAAAATAAATAAAACAATATTTCCACCTTTGATCAATCCTTAAGCAATATCAATTGAACGGAGAGTTTTCAAAATCTTCATTGTTGCGTTGTAAATAAAGCAAATTCATTATCATTTGCACTGCAAAAGAAGCATTTTTTTGATTTCTTCCTCTTATTGCAAAACTGAAATGTTTATGAGTGTATGGAAAGTAGACAGACTTCGTTTAGATGTTCATTAGTTGATTTGTAAATCAACTGAATTCATCTTTCTCATCGTTCATAGTTTTATGTCGAAGCTTATGAGATCGTTGATCGGCCAAAACGGAGAAGAAGGGTTGCAGTGAATTGAAAAGCTTTCCAGCGGAATCGGTCGCTCTCATTAATCATCATCAACTTAACCTTGTTTCCTATTAATCACCACATTAATAGCAACAACAAAAGGAGTCATTGTTTACTCCATTATACTTTTCACTGCGAGTTGATTTGGTTTGTGCAACAACTTCTGCTAGCGGTATCAATAAACAGTATTTGTACTAGCAATCATCAAACACTTCCACTAAGAAGAAGTGGTCGT